TTTTCATGTGTGGCTTATTGGTGCAACTGGAGGCCAAATGGTTATCCTTCCCTTTCACAGATACCTCAGACTAGCTATTACAGAGTATTACTCTACAAAGGTTTGACTTTATCTGAAAGTCAGAAGCATAGTTATGAATAACAACAAAACATCTGCCTGTTCCTTAGGTATCAGTCACTGTGATAAGTGTTTAAATGCCTATTTGTCACAAAAACTCTCAAGATGGGTTATATCAGCCTATTTTACCCAGGAGAAAATTGAAGCTCAGAAAGGTTAAGTAATCTGACCATATTCACCAAATATAAAAATACTCCGATGACGTAGGGGCTGGAGAGATGGCTCAGCAGTTAAGAACACTGGCTGTTCTTGCAGAAGATCCAGGTTCAAATTCTAGCACCCACATAGTAGCTAACAATTGTCCGTAGCTCCAGTTCCAGGGGATCCGATGGCCTCTTCTGTCCTCCACGGGCATTGCACAACATGGGCGTACTTACATACATGCAGGCAATACACCCATACACATAAAAATAATAAAATATTTTTAAAAAACACTTCAATGACGTTACAGAATTTCTATTTGTTAATATTTATTGTAGTACCTTGATTGCAAATCATAGAAAATGTATATTTATGGAAAAGGAAGAAATTGAGTGTATTAAATCTCTTATTTTTCTAACAAACTAGAAAGTTTCATATACACATGATAATTTCAATGACATTGTAATTTTCAATTTAGTTTTTAGAAAACTCATGATTGATGATTATAATTAAATTGTATCATATGGTTTTAATTTGGTCCTAGCAAGTGGGTTATTAGGAACTTGAGAGTCCACATTCATGGAACCATACATCAGAACAATTTTATGAACATGAAAATTGTGAGTAAAATATTCTGAACACTGATTAAGAATATAAACATGTTTCACATAGTCTCTTGACTTTTTGTTGTGACATACATCATATATTTCTAAGAAGGGATGAAATATGTGTAAACTAAAGAGAAACTGATTCATCCAACCAACAACTCCTAGATTCAGCACTGAAAATGTAAAGATCTTTATTCCTCAGTCCCAAACTCACAATACGAAAAGACTCCACACTGAAAACAGTCAATTTTCTTAGACCCGTAACAGAAACCAAGTTACCAAGACAGTCACCTTGAAAACTAGTATTGTGAATTCTGAGGATCACAGAAAAATAATGCTGGTTACTTAGGCCCGAAGTAGCTACAGCTATAAACAGTAGAAATTTATGGGCCTCCTACACTTTTGTGAATTTTATCCATTGGAATCCCACAAGGGGCTGGGTGGGCTGTGTTCTCATGGCAAGGACCTGGGAAAGAAGGTGGCTCTGCTAGAGAAGAAGGGGATGATAATTCTGAAACACACCCAGAACCTGGTCCCATAACAAAGGCCTATTCTCTAGAGAAACACACTTCCACAGAGCTGGACTAGTATTCCTCCCATCCCCATTCCCTCTAGCCTCCCCTTCTTTCCCAATGGGAAAAGTATAGGAGGGGCCTGTGGGATCGGCCAGAATCCCGGACCTGGAGACTTCTGTGCAGGCACGCCAGTCTAACATGACCTACTTCCTCAAACTGCTAACCTGGTATCTGCCGCCTGGACTAGAGACAGATGACGCGAAGGCCATGCCAATAGGCAATATACAGCTCAACCCTTAGGGCCAATGGGGGAGGTTTGGGGGGTATAGAGGAAAGCCTTTTGTACACAATAAACGAGCTTGCTGGCAGCCCGCGATTGAGCAGCATCTCCCGAAGTCTATGTCGTTGATTTCGTGCCTACTTATCCCCTGCCCCCCCAGACTGGAGTCGGGCCACCGTAGAGCACAGCAACAGAAAAGGATTCAACAGGGACCAGTGGAAGGAGGATGGATCTAGAGAAAGAAATGGAGAAGTGTCTGTGACGGCCATGGCCCCAAGCCAGGGGTCCAATCACTTAAATAACTGAAGTTTAATCACTTTAAAAAAAACAAAACAAAACAAAACAAAACAGAAAAAAAAAAAAAACCCTGGAATTCTAGATCCAGAAAAATCAGGCTTCAAAATGAAGGAGAGAGAAAAAAAAAAAAAAGGACTTTCACAAACAAAATCAGAGGGAATTCATCACTTGCAGATCTGCTTTGCATGTAATGTCTGGTTAAAGAAGTTCTTGGGGCAGAAGGAAATTGATACATGGCTGAAACATACCTACATAAAGAAATGTGCTCTGCCACATAAGGAATAAATGAAAATGAATTTTTTTTTTTTTTAATATAGACTGATCTGAAAGGATAACTCTTTCAGGTACAAGTAATGAAAACACACTCATGTTAAGGGTAAGTGTTCTAAAACAAAGTAACAGAGGCTGTGGAGAGACAGTTTAGCAGTTAAGAGCACTGGCTGCTCTTGCAGAGAACCCAGGTTTGATTCCCAACACCCATATGGCAGCTAATGACCATCCATAACTCCAGTTCCAGGGGAATCCAACACCTTCTTCTGACCTCCACGGGCACAGCATGACATGGGTTCACTTACATTCAATCAGGCAATACACTTATACACAAAAAATAAAAATAAGTTAAGCTAATACAAATTAAAAGAGAGCTACAGGCTACCATAACTTTAGGCAGAGAAAACTTCAAAACAAGAAAGATTATTCAAGAAAGCCAGACATGGTAGTGCAAACCTGTAACTTTAGCACTGTGAAGGATCAAGAGTTCAAGGGCAGCCTGGGTTATAGCAGAGCAAGGGCCTGTATCAAAATAATAATCATAATTATATATATACATATACATATCAGAAATGAAAGAAGGGTGATCAATATTAATTCTAATAATGTTAGAAAAATCAATACTGTGGAGAATTCCAAATCCACAAATTTGATAATGTAGATAAAATGGACCCTTCTTCAAAAGGCACAAAATTCACACAGGAAAAATATATAAAAAGAATACCCTATTTTAGAAAAATTGAATTAATAACCTTCCAAAACAGTGTCAGATTCAGATGGTTCACTTGTAAACTCTCCATTTAAGGTAAGAATTATACCAGTTTTCCATGATCTCTCCCAGAAGCTTAATTGAGGGACAGAACTCCAGTGGCTTATTAATGTAGTGAGGAGGAGGAGGAGGTGCAACTGGGGCAGCAAAGAGAAGTGTTTTCCTACCTCATTTCTGCCTGAAGACCAGTTACAAGTTATATTAGCCAATTCTCAGTAGCTGCTGAAGGAAGACAGAACTGGAGCAAAGTGGAAATCCCTGGCAAGTAATGAGATGTTCACTTTGTCTTTGTGTTTCTGATAAACAGAAGACAGTACCAGACCTACCACTTCTCAGGTTGCTCTGAGACTGAACTGAAAGCTCGTTTCTTCCCAGGAACATTTATTGAGTGCAACTATGTGCAGCCATCAATCTAAAGTACAGAAAAAGATTGGGGCTGGAAAGATGGCCCAGCACATAAGAGCACTTCCAGAGGACCCCAGGTTTATTTTTCAGCATTCACACTGGGCAGCTCACAACTGCCTGTAACTCTAGCTCCAGGGGATCCAATGCCCTCTTCTGGCCTCAGCAGGCAACCAGCACACATGGCATATATTCACGCATTTGACACAGACACACAGATAAAAATGTTTTTAAAAAGCTTTCAAAATGAGTGCAGTAGTAATTAAAACAAATTCCTTGACTTTGTGACATTTTAATAAAGGTAAAGATATGTGAAAAACACAGCAGGAAGAGGTAGGTGGAATGCAAGGGAAGGAACTGGAAAATAGGGTGAGCAGGAAAGGCTCTGTCAGGGCACTGTTTGAATACAGACTGAAGGAAGTGGGTATAAGGCCTTCTCTGATCAATGACACAGCAAGGGCAAAGGCCCTGTCGTAGGAGCGGCTTGGCGTGTCTGAGGAACAATGTGGCTGGAATCTGGTAGGCTGGAGGAATGGCTATGGGGCCAAGAGATGGCACTGGCCTGCTGCTGGCTAATGTCTACACAACAGGAAAGCTGCAGCAGTGAAATCTCCATAGTACAGCAATCTAACAAGATCTGCACAATGACAAAACCAGTTCGTATGCCAAGGTGGATCAGGGAAATGCATGGGGTCTGCCTCAAGATGAAGAGGCACAGGAAATCAAAGGATACCGAGGGTCAATCAGTTTTCCCCAGGAACTAGCTCCCCAAGAGGCTATCTAATCCCAAATGAGCACCCCTAAATATAGGTGCACAAGGGCACCAATAAATGAACTCAGTGCATTATCTATATATGTATACAATACATAATAGATAAAATGTATGTATGTATATGTAACTAATCAAAGAAGAGGGCAAGAGAGGAAGTAGGGGAACATGAGAGGTGGTGGAAGGAAACTAGAAAGGATGGAAATGGTGCAAAGGTAACACATATAAAATTCTCCGAAAGAATTAAAAAAAAAAAAAGAGTTGGTGGTGTTGGGGGTGCAGATAATATTGGTAAGAAGTTTGACTCCCATAGAGAGGCTGGATGTCATGGGGCCTGAGCAGAAGAAGGACATAATCTGACTTACATTTTAACAGGACCACTTGAACAACAGCATGGAGAAAACAGATTACAAAGAGTCAAGGGAAGAAAATCTTCCCAGTGGCAACTGCGCACAGGCAGACAGGACAGGCTAGCCTAGACTAGGGTGACAGTGATGAACAAGGTGCGTGGACAGAGTTCATATGGTGTGTGGACAAAGTTCATCATGTGTGCTCCAGAGGAAGCAACAGAATTTTCTGGGACTGGATATGAAGTATATAAAAGAGGACATTTTAGGTGAGAACAATCAGAATAAAGGAGTTACTGGTGAGTTTGCTATAATCCTAAGAAATTACAGAGTGATACTAACTAGTTCATTTTCTGCCAGATGCCAGGTATTTAATAGATTAAAATCTTATTTTATTCTACCATGAGATGAGATGTTTCATGATTTTCACCAAATTTTAATTCTGCAAAATTCACTCTTCAGAGGTCAGTTGACATCACTGACAGTTTTCAATCAGAAAAGGTTTTATTACAAGAAACAATGACATCAGGTAAAAATGCAAAAAATTGTGCAATTATGGCAAAATGTTTAAAAATCTACACATTTGCCCCCATAGGACTACAGTACTTACTACATACCTGAGCACTGAACATTGAATGCCATTTTAAACTTCTTTACACGGGACTCTGGTTCCTTACGGATCACAGCCACTTTTTCACATGCACCAATGATACCAGCTTAACACTTAAGCATCAATTTTGGGGGATCACAGGAAACAAAGATAAACAATAAATAATACAATTTCTACTTTCCTAGAACATAGTTACACCTAGTCCAGTTTTCAACATGTAAAAAATATATAGGAAAGTGCTACATACATTCTTCAAATGCAGAAACATAGTTGGGATTGGCATTTGTTAGATCTTTTAAGTCTGTAGTAGCCATTGTGCCTTTACTTATATTCACACTATGAAAATGTACCTTAAGTACCTACATGTAAACCCACACCTATCACTAATCTTAGTTTCCTAGGACCTCTTCTGAAATCATTTTAAAAGTGGCAAAATATTCTGGCTATGTAATGTAAACAAACAGTTCTTCATACAAAATTCAATATAGTCTACTCCCATAATAAGTTCTAAGCCTTGGTTTTGACACACTATACTTAGATCATACCCTCAATGCACACTGTTATAATGAAAGGGTAACTGCTATACAGATCAACAGGGAAAATCTACTGTAGAAATACTCACAGTGTATTTTCTCGTGTACACCGCACTGTACCTGTACACTGCTAACTCAACGGTCTATGTCATGTTTTCAAGTAGTACGTTTTCCCAAATACAGAGATTGTCACAAAGTGGCAGGAATCTTAGATATTCAGCAAAACTTTCAAAATAAGTTACATGGATATCTCTTGTAAAAATTATTTTCCCTATTAGTAATGCAAAACTGTAAATATAAATCAAAAAACTTCACAGAATAATCCTAAAACAGCATGAAGAAAAAGAAAATACAAGACAAACAAGAGAGGTAAAAATATTGGTTGAGAAATTTTACAAAGAGATTGTAGACACACCATCAAGGCCAATTAGAAGAAACCATATTTCCAGCTCTGTAGGACATTTAACCATTAATTTGTGAATGCTGTCCACTTGAACTTCCTCTTCAGAAAACCATCCCTACTTCCAGAGCTCTTTGTAAAGCAGTTTAGAAAGTTCCTGAAAGACGAGGTATGTGATGCAAGGAGGCAATGTTTTCAGTCTGTTTCACAGTATCACTTTACAATTTCTGCAAGATTTTTTTAAAAAATACAAACCATGCCAGTTTTTCTTCAAGAGAATCAAACTACTCTAAGCACAGACAGCCTCTGACCTGTTCTCATATTCTGTATTGGCTACACTAGGCACAGTAACGAGTATGTTACCAATCCAAATGCCTGCCTTAGGTACAGTGTTAGTTTTTCATGCTAATATTCCTAACTGAGAAACGTATCAGTTAAATATGAACAGTGACTAGTACCTATGGTCCATGATCCTATGATTCAGTTCACTCACTCTTCCTTCTCCATCACCTTCAGCTAAGACAAGTCTTTCCACATAAAAGTATTCCTCACTATTGAGTGTGAAACAGCAACAACAAGAGGCTATAGCTGTAATATGAAACTTCAAAGCCATTAGATTATTAGACCACTTCAGGAATCACACAGAACTTTAAAAGTAGGTGTAAAATTTCACATTATAAGTTAACTTTCATTGTACTGACTATGACTGGACAGGTAGAGGATGGAAAAGGAGGTTGGGCAACAAAACAGCCCATGTTAGTGCAAACTTGGTACTGTAAAACTGAATCCAGTTAGACCAATAACGGGTCATATCTGATCACACAAACAGAGCTTGTGAAATGACAAGGTAAAGCACTATGGCCAGGAAACCAGCATGCTAATTTGAAAGACCAACATAGACTCGAACCATTTAGCTCTATCTATCCCTACATGTGAATTAACTTATGCTAGCACCAGTCACCTGCAAATCTGAGCCCTTTCTGGGATTTTAAAAAAAATGAGACAGTGTTAGCACTTGAAAAAGTTATGGACAGAAAACTGCCACTTTAAAACTTTAGCTTAACTTAAAAGTTACATGGGAAATAGGAAATTCTAAAAGTTCTTTCCCAGACTGATTTTTCCTTAGTCTACTGATAACAGAACACATTTAAATCTCGTACACTTGAAAACAGTACACAAAAATATATGTAAATATATATAAATATTAAGAATGAGGATCTAAGTTAATGCTTCTCTGTATAGAGAGGTCACAGCTAAATAAAGTCCTAATGATATTGCCTCATATTGTTACCCGTATTTAAATAAAAAGCCACATGAAACTAGTTTGGATGTGTCTACCCAGGAATACTCTGCTTTTGTAAGAGTGCATAGTTGTCTTGATTCATCTGGTATCTCGGTGACTTTATCACAAAACGCTAGAATGAAAAAATTACTTTTAAGCCAGGGGTGGAAAAATGCTGCTAATTGCACTTTGTTACCTTTTCCCTACTGAAATGGAAATATCACGAAGGTAAAGCAAATCCCTCCCCATGCCATAATGCTTAAGAGCACCCATTTCCGTATACAACTCTCAGTCTTCCTCACTACCAACACTTCCTAAGACAAGATTCTTCAGTTTGAGATGCCAGCGATGTACTAAGGCCTGCTACTTAGTCTGCTACTTGTCACAGCACTTTCTGAAGACACTGGGGATAGAGTTTAGCAACAGCACATTCAAAATGACGGCCAAGGTCCCACAGCCTATCTGGGGTCTCATACACTTTCATCCATTGGTCAGCAATGTCATCATACTGGTAAAGGGAATTTTTCCTGCTGGTTCTGAAGACATGTTCTTCAACAGTTACTTGAGTAGCTCGGACAAATAAATGGAGTTTATTCTGGAAAAGTACCAGCTTAAGGTATGGATTTATGGATTGATCACATGGAAAGTCCTTCTTACGAGTCCATTTATTCAGCTCAATATCATAGGCTTCTACAGTAAACACACGTTGATGATTTCCACAGGTTCCAGCTATGTAGTAGATAGAGTCCTGGTATACAGCTGCTAAGCCCTGGATTCTAGGCACAGTCATGGGGGTTAAAAAACCCCAGTAGTCTTTTTGAGGCTCATAGAAGAGGAAAAATTCTCCTAAAAAAAGAAAAACAAAACAAAACATGAATATGTGTATTTTCATGTTTGATTCTTGGGTTATATCTTTAATTCCAACCTCTGAAGACTAAAGAGCCTTATTTTCCAAACACTGCTTTCTGAAATATACGAAGTAACAAATATGGTCAACCTGCATTGGTCCGCATGACCTGGGAGAAGTAAGCAGATTCCTGGGTTCTATGGCAGAACAACAGTTAACAATAGGTGGTTTCATTTGTTCCAGCCAAGTGTATGCTATAGAAAATTTATTTTGAGCCAGCTCTAAAACAACATTATTACTAATGACTTGCCAGTAAGGGCAATAAACCAGAACATATTTGTGTGCTACTTAATGAGAAGATAGCACATGGAATTGTTCAGCTTTGTGTCTGTGGGTCACTGGTGAGTTTACCTGAGTGCTGCTATAAAGCAAAAATAAATTTCAACAAGAGAAAATTGAACATTAATAAGACAGAAAACACAATTTATGGACTTGACTTTCAGTCAGTTACTATTCCAAACTGACAATAAATGTGTATACGCTGAATCAGACTGCCAACAGGAAAATGTCTGTAAGAATTAAACCAATGAATATTTGCAAGATCTTACTAATGATATAAAAAAAAATGTTTTTTTGAGATAGAATTGCCATCCTGAACTCAGGCTGGCCTTGAACTCAAGATCCTCCTGCCTCAGCCTCCAGAGAACTGGGATTATAGGTATGTGCTGCATGTGCTACCATACCCAGCTTAATGGCTAACACTTGTATATATCCTTGTAATAACAATCTCTATGAGCATATTAAATTATACTTTCATAGTCACAGACAGAACAGGCTTCACATCCCTTATCTGAAATGCTTGAGACTACAAGTAATTCAGATTTTGGAATATTTGCATATATATAATGAGGCCTCTCTGAGATTAACCACAAGTCAAAACATGAATTACTACAATACTGTCAGTGTGCCTATGTTTAGACTGACCTGTCAAAGGGTCGGGTATGGAATTTTCCAAGTGTATCATCACATCGTATTCACAAAAGTTTCAGATTTTGAAACGTTCTGGATTTTTACATTTGGGATGCTCAAACTGTAAGGCACAGCCTTTCAACAATTCATGTCAGGTTTACTATGTACAGAGGCTTTGTTTAGATCAGAAATGCCTGATTCTAAATTAAGCTTCTCTTTATAAACTATTCTAAATTAGGGGTGCTCTCATATATACATTCAATTACCTACTTAATAGTGATGACATTTCAACTTCAATTTTATTTAAGTCCCAGCTTTTGCTACACATCATATTCCCTTATTGACTACTAATAGTCTAAGATTCTTGATAAAGAAACTGAGAGTTAAGACCTTTTACATGTGGCAATTCTCTAGAAATTTCTTCCAAGAAGGAAAGGAAATACACACAAAAAGTTGGCTTTTAAAATATAATTGCTCTTTGATAAACTAAAGTCAATGGTAGGCAATTAAAAAAACTCTCAGGGCCTCAGATTAAACGCTGTACATTCTCATCTTGAAATTCTATTAAGTCATTGCTGCTTACTATAGTACCTGTATTAACATACATCCTATACATTACAATAGAGGCTTTTAATTTTCTATATTGACTAACTAGTTTGCCAGCAACACACACACACACACACACACACACACACACACACGGAGGGAAGGAGGGAGGGAAGGAAAGAGGGAGAGGGAGAGAGAACTTCACATCACATTGAATAGTATAACCATATTGGATGGATTATACATGCATTCCTATATTCCATTTTTGGCAAGATCAACAAACCCAAATCATGCTGTGCTTCCATGTAACTAAAATAAGGTGCCAGACGCACTACTCCTTCTGGAGAATTAACTCGCTATAGAATTTAAGCAAACATGTTCCAGCATTCTGATCAACTTTAAGTCAAAAGGTATCTTTACAGCAAAGAACATCATTTTTAAGAAATGGGATAGGGCTTAAAAGTAATCATGTATATCTTCATGGAAGTTGACACTTTTCTTGTTTCATTAAAGTAGTGGTACAAGGAAAACATTTAAATATAACCTATTAAGAAACATAAAGGAAGGATTTAAGCATTACCTACACTGCATTCAAAATCCCAACAACTAAAACACGTAAGGAAAAAAGGGGCTGGGGAGATAAATCAGTGGGTAAAGTGCTTGCTATGAAAGCATGAGGCCCTGAGTTTGGATCCTCAGTATCAACATGAAAGTGGCACAGTAGTGCACATATGTAACCCCAGCACTCAGGGAGCTGACAGATCCCCAGAGCTCGATGGTCAGCCAGTCTAGCCAATTGGTGAGCTCCAAGTTCAGTGAGAGACCCTGTCTCAAAAAGTAAGATCTAAAAAATGAGTAAGAATGAGGACGGCAACAATGTTGATGTCTAGCCTATACATATGCATACAGACACAAAATAAACATATAAGGAAAATGCTTTCACAAATCATAACCATATTTCTTCTTATTAGCCCACTTCTACTCAGTCTTTGCCAGATAAAAGAAAGGGGAAGGGGAGCTAAAATTTCAAGTGAAATTAAGATCTGAAGAACACAATTCCAACCCCTTTGTAGTCAAGTTTCTTAACAATTGTGGTTGACAGACTTATATAAAACTCTTTGGTAAATAACTAGAGTAACTAGTTAATACTTTTTTCCCCCTTTTAAATTCATCCAGTAAATTCCATTAAAAGGTAGCCACTACATCTCTTGATTATTTTTATATATAATATATAATTTATTTATACACACACATACACACGCACGCACGCGCGCACACACACACACACATTATAGAAGAACAAAATAGCTATGTATTAACTTTGGCTTACTGTTTGGTATTAAAAACTGCTCTGAAACAGTTACCCCAATATGTTGAGCTATTATTTATTTAAAAATGCTTTTAAGCCAGGCATGGTAGCATATGCCTGTAGTCCCAGCACTTGGGAGGCAGAGGCAGGAGTTCTCTGTGAGTTCAAGCCCAGCCTGGTCTACTTAGTGAGTTCCAGGCCAGCTGGGGCTACAGGAAGAGCCTGTTTAAAAAAGACAAAAAAAAAATAATAATAAAATAAGAAAGCTTTTAAAAACTAAGATCAAAACGTGAACACAAAAAACAAGGACTGTTACAGTAACTTAAAAAATTTAAAATTTTAAACCTTTTTTGATCTTTATTTTCTAGACCAGAATGTTCTAATAAACAGTGAGCTGTTACCTGTTTAACATGATTAAGTAAACAAACCGCCTTCGTTTGCTACCCTTCCATGAAGAACTAGATCACTTGGGCACCTACCCTGTAAAACATAGATCTTTTCTTTGTACTCCACAGCATTGTGAAATTCCATTGCAACCGGCATTGCGCAAACAGTCATCCAACAATTCTCTCTGCTGTCATAGCACTCCACCGATTTCAGTGAGTTTCTCCCATCACCCTCATAAACCCGGCCTCCAATTGCATACATTTTACCACAGCAATGTACTAGTTTGCAGCCTATTCTGGCTCGAAGCAAGGGTGGCTTGGATAGCCATCTATTGGTGGAATGGTCGTACATCCAGAAATCATTTTCTGCCTTATGATCGATGGAGACCTCACTGCTGCTTGGCCTGTACCCTCCTGCAATGTAAATGTCATTATCTGGTGACACAAGAATTCCCACTTCTCTTAGGTCATTTGGTGGTTTGCATAGTTTAAACACTCTTCCTGTGACTATGTCTAGACAAGGCACTGTTTGCTTCTTTCCTGAGTGTTTATGGGCAGCATCAAAGCATATGATCATTTCGGAAGCAGTCATTCCAAGCCTCTGGGTACAGCCATTGGTGCTGGATGGTCCCTTTTCTCCACAGCTTTTGGCTATAGCCTGTGCAAACTGAGATGGAATTTTCTCTATAAATGTATCTTCCATCAGAGGAAAACGTATACATTTGGCAAAAATCTCTGGAAGGTGCACTTCTCTTTCACTCTGCTCATGTTCAAACCACCTAATAATGCTCTCATAAACATGTTCTTCCCGGTCTACATTTAAATCATCACTATCGAGTATGCTTATGAGTTGGTCTTTTGTCAGCTGAAGAAACTCTTGTTCTTTGGTGACACACAGAAACTTTTTACGAATGTATTCTTTTGATCGATCCCCAAGTTCCTGATGACCATAATGATCAGCAAAGATAAAGACCCCAATGGAATTTTGGGGGTCCAAATGACTAATCATATACTTAGCACACTGGTCTTGTATGGAAGGAATCTGGAAGATGCTAGCTGTAGTGAACAAGGCTTGAACATTGGCCTCTGTCAGAGTAACTCTGGAGGTATAGGCATAATTCAATACTAAATCCATCGACTCAGCTTCAACACCGATTATTCGAACTTCTTTTTGAGTACTTTCTGTAAGGCCGCTAGTGAACATGGATCTAAAAAAGAAAAAGTGGTTAATAGTTTGTATACACTGCAAATACACTTTTTTTTTTTTAAAGTACATAGCTATCACACAGGCAGTCTTTGGAAGATGAATGAACATATTCCTTGCTAGTATGTACAGGGCTGAAAATGGCTATTCTCAGGGTCATTCCACTTTGTGTCGAAGGAGTTGAAAACAGTGTAAAAATATGGCACACTGGTGGATGATCAAGCTGAAATCACCTGCAGGAAGAGCCATGTGGCCTGTCTCTCTCTACATGCAGAAGGCACGGACTCTTCCAGGATGGACCCTTCACATGCTAAGGCTGGAAAACAGCCTTGGTCACCAGAGTAATTGGTAACTGTGGCTGCAGTAAGCTTGAATAAACAAACTCTGAAGTAACTCTTCTCCTTCAAGAGCTTCTATTATCTCCTGCCCTACATATCTCTAAGTAACATGCCTAGAATTTATTATCCTAGTCCAGAGAGCCACTTACCCTAATTTACTGTTCTTTGTCCAAAAGGAATAAAGGCATCATGCTTTGATCATTTGTTTGGGCTTTACTTTCTTGTAAAAATCCCTATAACCATATAAATTAATAAAATGTTTATGCTTATCTCTTGTCAATCAGCTCTTGTGCTAACTGGGCTCCTCAGTCTAACCAAAGAGCCCACATAAGAAGGCTCTGTCTGTCCCCACATGCTTACTATGAAAAAAGGGAGCATACAGGCAAGAAAGCAAACCAAAAGTGACATGTTCAGGTCACCTGATTGTCCTTGAAGCCCTTATCCAAGCTTCTAGCCAAATTTCCTTAGGGGCAATAGACCTTAAATTGCCAAGTCCAGAAAATGTTGAAGACATAATCAGGATAGCAAAATTATTCATAAACACAGAGAAGACAGTCCAATAAAACTTTTGATGCCCCAGTGAAAATTCCAAGGGAAGCTGTGTGCACAAAATAAAACACTGAAATTTTCATCTGAGAAAAAGCATGACATTCTTCCAAAGTACACATTTTTCACCTTTACCTTTTAAAACAAATGATAATCTCTTTAATGTTCCCTTAATCTTTATAAGGAACTTAAAGATCACTTCACTTACTCTTGGACATTCTGAAACTCTTTCCTTAAAAGATATACTTCATCTTCTCAGTTAAAATGACTATATTTTACACAGTTATGGTCAGGTTAATTTAATGCCTTCTTCTAAAGAGAGTTTAACATTTGACATATCACTGATTCTTTGGAAATGATTTGTAAATTCCTAAACTTTTATTTTTAAGAATAACCTTGTAAGTTGGATATAGTGGTGCACACCTATAATCCTAGTGCTTGGGGAGCTGAGACAGGAGGATAGCCACAAATTCACTGCACTCTGAGTGACACAGTAAATTCCAGAATAGCCATGGCAACACAGTAACATGCTATTTCAGGAAAAACAAAAACAAAAACAAAGCTTGTTGTTTAAAAAAAAAAAATCTAGGGGATGGAGAGATGGCTCAGAGGTTAAGAACACTGGCTGTTCTTGCAGAAGACCCAGGTTCAAATCCCAGCATTCATATGGCAGCTAACAACTGTCCGTAACTCCAGTTCCAGGGGATTTGATAGCCTCTTCTGTCCTCCACAGGCACTGCACAACACGGGTGCACTTACCTACATGCAGGCAATACACGTATGCACATAAAATAAATAAAATATTAAAAAAAAAATCTAGGATGCTTAGTAGGTATTTGCTGAAGAACTTGATGGAATAAAGAAATAGGTTATTTGTTGAAGAAACTGGGGATAAAGGAAAGTGAGATCCAGACCCTTCCCACTTGTTTTTGTTATACTAAACATATACCATATATCCTTAAACGGGAAGATGTGGAGTTACCTTCGAAATCTCCATCCAATACATGGATATTAAAATGCAGTATGAGCAACTTGGTGATACAAGGACCCAGCTTGCTACAGATTACTTATAGCTTTACTTCAACAATGTAAATTTTAAGTCTTAATATCACTACAGGCTTTGCTGACTAAAAACCAGATGCTCCTATGTTTAAGGTGGTTTTCAATTCAAGTAGTGAACAACTCACCTCTACAGCCACCAATTAAAAAGGAAAATACAGCTGTTCATAGGTAGAGCTTAAGTCCCAAAGAAGACCATCATCACACATCCCTTTATCATGGGAGCCTCAAATGACTTCCATGGGCTGGTCTCACACATGGGAGTGGTCAGATACCTTGATGAGTTCTCTAATAGGTTCTTCACATAAGCTCTACATAAAGTGGGAGCATGTCCTCACACAAAAGCCTGAGCAGCAGGAACTTCCAATCATTGCATTTTAATTTGGACAAGTAACTGGGATCAGGAGGCAGCCATGACAGATTTCCAGCTATTTAAATTCTTTCACCTGTGATGTGAGACTTAGAAATTATTAAGTATGACTTTTGAGATTCCCACCTCAGGAGTGCCAAGAAATTTCTGTGCCAAAGTTCTAGGAAGAAAAAGAATCTAGCTGATCATTTTTCTAGCCACCTATATTTATGTGAATGCATACCTTTTATGCTTCAGAAATTGAGAAAATCTACTGTAAGTGTAGTTCTTTAAATTTGTGTAGACAATGAAAGCTAATATTAATTATACATGACATTAAGATGGTACAGTCTAGAGCATAAGGGTTCAATGAAAAATTTTACTTTGAAGTTTTATTTTCTTTTACTATTCAAATACAAAAAAAATTAACAGAAACTTTAAAGAAGACTTACTTTATTTTTGTTTCTTAGGTATCACATGGTAAGAAGCCTAGTTTCAGAATAAAATCTACCTCTGCTATTTGAATGACTTAGACATTACTCACAGAGCCCCAATTCTTTTCATATGTAAAATGGGGATAGCAACTGTGCAGAGATAAGATTATTAAGATTATAGAAGGCAATTCATATAAAGTAAGCTTAATCCTGAGTTTAGTAAGGAGCAGCTGTGCCATATATTTAAAAACATAAATTACCTGATCATATCTAATAACCTAGGTAAGAGTCACACCAGAAGCTTCCATTGCCAGGCCAACAGGCATCTGTGTATGTGTCTCATCATTTTTCTTTCCAGCCTACTACCCTATAATACTTAGTAGACCAGTGACCTCCCCAAGTCTCATCACAAACATCAGACTGAGGTAACTCTATTCAGACCAGCATTCTGAGAAAGAGGAACCAGAAACGAATGCATGCAACATTACACTGCTATGTGCCCAATAAAGATAAGCACCTTCACAAGACAAAGCAGTCAGTGTGGCTAAGAAGATGGTTTTACTATCAATCACCACCCACTTCCAAACACTGAAAGGCTTTTAAAAGTGAGCACTTGGAACAAGAAGCTCTGTTTGGGCAGAAAAATGACCTTTTCCAATCATTTCTTCTTAGAGTAAGAACTTGTTTTTGAGAGCCAAGTTTTAAATGTTGACTTGCCAGTATTTTATAATAAAAGTGAACAGAAAAGAAAATGAAAGCAAAAACAGTATGAAATACTTCTGGAAATCTAGGTGATAATCACTCTCTTGGGAACTTAGACACAAACTCTATCCACTTACTTTGACCTCCATGGCATTAAAACAGTCCACTAAAAACTAATTTGCTTGCAAAGGAAGCTCTAAGAAAAGTTTCAAACACTTTTTTTTTCTAAAAAAATAAAATCATGAATAACTTTTTAGAATAAATTTTAGATCGTCACTGTCTAATAAAACATTGAATAATAGGAAGGTTGTATATATTGATGCTACCCAATACAGGAGCCACATGTAGCTACCTGAGCACTTGCCAATTTAGTACACCTGAGTTACTGAATGGCCGGTGGCTTCCATGTTGGGAAACACAAATTTAGTGTTTCTGGTCATTTACCTCAAGTAGAGGTCCACTAACTTAAAACCCAGCTAGCTGAACTCCAGAAACCCATAGTTCAAAAACAAGGGCTTATTAATAAGATAAGGCCCGTTCTCTACTCTCAGAAAATAAACTCATTCAAACTCATCGGCTTTTTTTTTTTCCTTGTTGGTCCCAACTCACTATCACAACCAAGGTAACACTTAAAAGGGACAGATATTAATGTAAGTTTCTAACCGTCATCATACCTGAAGTAGGGGCTGATTGCAGCAAGAACGTTTCTATGACAGGAAAATGTTTTCCCGTGATCCACTTCCACTACAATGTCTGTCAACTGTCCTTCATCGTACATTGTTTTGAGTTGCTTAAGAATACTGCAAGCATGGAAGGGGTCCATGGCATCGTTGGCTGTGTCTGAAGATGGAATCCCATTCGTTGTTGGGGAAGACTTACTTAAATCTAGGAGGAGAAAAATCGTACAACCACAAGAAGTTCGAAGCCGGTTAAGGCATCGTGGGGTTTTTTTTGTTGTTGTTGTTTATTCGCTTAGCCTGTTTTTTCCCCACCCCTTACACAGATGTACATGTCTACGCACATACCGCAGACACAGGATCCGGAGGCGTAGAGCCCGGACGAGAGCGAGCCGCGGGGCTGGTTTCCCAGGCCGGCGCGCCGGTCCGGAGCCCGGCGAGCCCGGAGCAACGCGCTCGCGGAGGCTGCGTGCCAGGCGAGCCGAGCCGGCGCGGGGAGGCGGCTGGGGCTCCGGGGGGTGCTGGCTCGGGCCGAGCGCCGGTCGGGGGCCTCCCCAGGGCAGCCTCCAGGGCGACCCTCAACCGCCTCGCGGGCGGCCAATACCCAGACGCCCCATCTCCGCGGCCGCGCCGCCCTCCGCGCCATTCATCTTCCCCTCGCAGCGCTCTCCGCCTCTCCATCCTTCCCTCCCGCCTCACCGACGCCACCTCAGGCAGCCGCCCGCGCCCCCGCTGCCCTACTCAGGCACCGCGGCCGCCGCACCACGCCACCCACCTGCCGACGCGGCCATTTCTCCAAGGGGCCCCGGCTCCGGTTATTTAAAGAGGAAATGTCATTGCGCTTCTCTCGCTCCCGGGTTCCGGCTCTTCTAAGCTTCGCCTAGCCAATGGTGTGGCTTAGCGAGCCGGCTCCTCCCCTTCCCTCTGAATTCCGGTTACTGATTGGTCACCCTATGGACGCATGCATATCGGGAAATGTAGTTTAATTGCCCCCACTCCCGCGTGGTCAGGTTCGCGTGGAGGCCTAAGCCGCGCATTACTATTGGCTGGTCCAGGCGGAGGTGGAGCGCAGTGAGCCCGCCCGCCGGCACCTGTGGGGTGCGCAGCGCCGGCCGGGAAACGTAGTCGTCTGACTGAGGAGAGCTGTCATTATGAGGCGCTGGGGTAAGAAAAGTTCTTCTAGCGTGAATTTCCCTGTAGGCGACGTCTCATCTGGCCCCGACTCACTTTCAAAAAATCTTTTTCTTCATTGCCGAAACTTCCTGCCAATGACTAGCTTCCGGTATGAAAATGCGCACAGCCTGAGGGCTTTGAAACTATGAAAAGTTGGAAATGGAGAGGAGGACTGTTGTCCAAAATTGCAAAGGAAATATGACACCCCACCCTGGAGAAGAGTATCAGTAGGCCCATAAGCAAACCATCTCTGATTGAGACATCTGTGACACCCAATTGAAATTGCATCGCCTTGGCCGCATGTTCTGCTTTCCACAGATTATACTTGATCTGGTTCCAAGGCTGCCCGGCACCTGGAACTGCCCTTGCATGCCTTCCTAGCATACCCAGGAAACACCTGTTCCCCTTTCAAGGTTACCTGCATTCTATAAAAGGACTCAATATGATTTCATTTTGGCTTCTTGAAATTGAGAGGGTATGCCTTCTGGGATTTCCTTTGAAGAGGTGCTGGAGGCCTGGCTCTTGCTGCATATGGAATCTTAGATCTAATCTTCCAACTCGTAAATACGTAGGTCCTTTACCTTAACATGTGACTAATAGTTGGCATTTGGTCTACTTCATAGGCCGCAAGACTTGGGTAAAGAAAGGGGAAATTGTAACTTCTTTTTTATTGTTCCATTGCGTGTGTGTGTGTGTGTGTGTGTGTGTGTGTGTGTGTCTATGCATGTTTTTGCATTTTTACATGGGTGGGGGCGCATGTGTGTGCATTGTGGAGGACCGAGACTGAGGCAGGGTCTCTCCATCAAACCCAGAGCTCATTCATATGGCTCGTCTCCCTAGCCAGCTTGCTCTAGGGAGCCGCTGTCTCCACCTTCCTAGGTTGGATTTTCAGAATGCCATAATGCCCACCTGGCATTTATGTGAGCTCTGGGATCTGAACTCTGGTCCTTACACTTGTGCAGCAAGTGCTCTAACCACTGAACAATCTACCCCACTCACCTCACTGAACTGTTTTTAAGGTCTTATCCTGTTTCTGGCATCTAAAAGGGCGCTTGACACATTATAGATACTTAAAAAATCAAAGTAAATGAAAAACATAAGTGAACAAACATTGAGGATGCTAGACTTTTGACTCCAAGGAATTATTATCAGGGAATGGGGAAGAAGTTTTAGAGAAGAACTTTACTAAAGTTCTTTACTAAGAACTTTAGAAGTTCTTTTAACTAGAACTGGCTAGTTAGTTCACAATGGTAACTTTCCTGGCACTGAAAAGATAAAAAAGTTGAGCATTTTACCCATCTATCTATCTCCCTATCTCCCTATCTATCTATCTCCCTATCTATCTACCTATCTATCTGTCTATCTATCTATCTCTCTATCATCTATCTATCTATCTCCCTATCTCCCTATCTATCTATCTATCTATCTATCTATCTCTCATTTAACCAGAAATTGAACCTGAAGCCTGGTGCAAGCAATCTACCAGCCCCTAGGGAAGGCACATCTCCAGCCTCTAGGTGAATTTATTAAAAGTTCTTCAAATTTAACTTGTAATTGAGAAAGAGAATGATTAAAAATAGCTAAGTCCTATTCCCTAGGTATGATGAGAAATTTAAAATTGCAAGTACTATTCTGCTGTGGAGATTAGCAAGAATTGGTGCTTCCTGGAGATGGGGTTTGTGACATTTGTGTGCACTCACAATCCCTCCTTATGAGAACTCTTTCAATATAGCTCTACATGAGGAATTTGATTTATCTTTTATTACTCATAACTTTGAATTTCCATTAGAGTTCATTTATTGAAATAATGGAGATTTTGCTCACTGTATTGATGGCATTAAGAAGAAATTACATTAATTCTCAGGCTAGATTTAGCAAATACAGAGCATGCATCTTAGGATATGCTATTGATTGTTTATTGGAAATTCAAATTTTATTGACAACTTTTCTAATCCTGTTAAAATAAGGCAATTCATTACTCCTTAAGAGATACTTGGACATGTCTGCATTTCATAAGAATCCAATATGTGTAACCCCATTGAAGCAGTGATTGTGAAAGCTGGGCTTTCTTTTAATTTCATTGATAGTAGGAAATAGATAAGACTAACCACTGAATGTATTTTTCACATTGACCCACTTAGAAAAGGTGACTATTTTTGTTAAATTTATTTTATAACCTGAGGTTTTTCTTTTTCTTTCTGTTTAAAACTGTAACAAATAATTCTATCATTGTCTCTTTAATATATAAATTGTATTGCTGTAAAGTTTTTTTTTTTTTTTGGTCTTTTTGAGACAGGGTCTCCCTGTAGCCCCAGCTGTCCTGGAACTCACTATGTAGACCAGGCTGGCCTTGAACTCACAGAGATCCACCTGCCTCTGCTTCCTGAGTGCTGGGAATAAAGACGCCTGGCCCTAAAGTATGTTTTTTTAAAAAATAAAACAAAACACTTGTCAGGCTGGGCATGATAGTGCACGCCTTTAATCCTAGCACTAGGGAGGCAGAAATAGGCCCATCTCTGTGACACTGGGGCCAGCCTGGTCTACATAGGGAGTTCCTGGTCAGCTGGGCTACAGAGAGACCCTTTCTCCAAAGGGAGGGAGGGGAGAGAGAGAGAGACTTGGATAAGGACAGTTTTCTTGTTTTGCTTTTGAAAGCAGGATCTCTAGCTATGTAGTTCAGGCTGACCTTGAACATGATATCTTCCTGGATCACCTTTCCCAGTGCTGGGATTACATGTTTATGCCACCATGCCTGACTCAATTTTCTATTTCATGCCCAACTAATTCTTGGCAATTAATTAAAAGAAAGCCTCCTCATTTTTTGACCCACAAAGATTTATCAACTTTGAAATGGAACACAATAAAAAGAACAAAAACTAAATGTATTTTTTGTTTCTTTTTTTAACTAAATATAAATTTAAGAAATGAAACTTTATAATTACAAGCTTGTCATTCACATTACACCCTGTACATACACTCCATTCCACTGGGCAGGTAGCATTGCTTAATGAAAATTTCATTATCATTATGATGTATTAAAAAAATAAGTAAAGCATTCTCAAAACTGAAGCAATAGTCATACTAATGGAAAATGGTTTTTGAGAATACAAAGAAGGGGCTGGAGAGATGGCTCAGTGGTTAAGAGCACTTGCAGAGGACCTGGGTTCAATTCCTAGTACCCACATGGTGGCTAACAACTCCAGTTCCAGGGGAACCTGACACCCTTGCCCCTCTGCAAGCATTGCATGACAGAGGTGCAAGTACATACATGCAGGCAATACACTCATACACATAAAATAAAAATACTAAATAAAAAATATTTTAAAAGACTATAAGAAGATTCTGTATCAGGATAAAATAACAACCCAAAGCTTCCAGTTTTGTTTTCAAATAAAGTAGCTCTAGTTTCAAACTTGGTAAGAACCTAAAAAGCTTACTCCCAATCTAGAAAAGCAGCAGCAAAAGTAGTCCAGTTTTCTTCTTAATTATTAAGTACTATATTGTCCTTTGAAGCAGTTTTCCCATATAGTTACAGTGTAAAGTAAAATCTATAAAGGCTGAAAATTGAAAAAGCAAACCAGAACATAGGAAGGACCTATATTTAAGTCAGATTAGACCTTTGGAGCTTTATTATTGTACATATTTTACCTAGTAATCCAAAGCAAAAAGGATTGCTACTGTCTTTGTGGCTTGAGCAAAGGCCAGTCTTCACAGCGAAGGAAAGATGAAGGATTATGAAAACACACATGGGAACAGTGAGGGGACGTCACACAGTCATCTCGGCTTTGCTGCTTCAACTTTCAGAGAGTGACTTTTAGCAATTATCAGTTGTGTACAGGCGACTGTCAGTGATCACACCACACAACACAGAATGATGGTGGCTCTGATGAAGGAGGCACAAGAGAAAATGAAACCTCTCTTCTGTAAATCGATTCTGCAGTTGTCCAATTTCCCTGCTCAGTACTGGTTTGAGGCTGCGAAATCACCAGTGCTGTATAAGAGGAGAGTAAGAAGAGAGGCGTGAAGACGTCACCTTTCAGCAAATGGCGTTCTGAGATGCTTCTCCTTCCCAGCCATCATCTTCTTGGTTTATCCAACAAGATGTTTTCCTGGCTGAAGTCTTTTGTATTGACTGGATTAATACCTGGAACAAAGCAACAAAATGTTTCTGGCCAATATAAATGTAATATAATTGAGTCAACTAAAACAATTTTTTTTTTTAATTCTGGGACCTACATGTTGCATATGATTTACCTTCTTTTAAATACACAGTGCTAAATAGATACTAGCATTAAGTTTACCTATTAGATATTTCTGAGCTTTGTTGTATTTTTGTGCACTTTGAGGTGAGAATTCAACATGGTAATAACTAAAAGACTGCTTTTTTTTTTTTGTCTTTTTTGAGACAGGGTCTCCTTGTAGCCCCAGCTGTCCTGGAACTCACTATGTAGACCAGGCTGGCCTCGAACTCACAAAGATCCGCCTGCCTCTGCCTCCCAAGTGCTGGGATTAAAGGCGTGCACCACTACACCAGGCAAGACTGCATTTTTTTAAAAAATCGCTGAATTCGGTCATACTGGGGCTACTAAAAATGCATTCATTTGTCTTTTGAATGCTTGGAATTTAGCATACACAGAAAGACTGTACATGCATAAAAGTAAAAGCATGACTATTCAAT